GCTATTCTAACATTTAAGATTCTTTATTTTTTCTTTTTTGGAGACGGAGTCTCGCTCTGTCATCCAGGCTGGAGTGCAGTGGCGCAATCTCAACTCACTGCAACCTCTGCCTCCCAGTTTCAAGCGATTCTCCTGCCTCAGGCTCCGGAGTAGCTGGGACTACAGGTGCCCGCCACCATGCCTGGCTAATTTTTTGTACTTTTAGTAGAGACAAGGTTTCACCATGTTAGCCAGGATGGTCTCGATCTCCTGAGCTAGTGATCCGCCCGCCTCAGCCTCCCAAAGTGCTGGGATTACAGGCGTGAGCCACCACGCCCGGCCCAAATTTAAGATTCTTAATTCTTGTCCAGGATCGTGCCCACCATGTCAGGATGGGCATCACAGTCAGAAAAGTTATATATTGCAGAAATGGTTTTTTATAAGGAAACCTGCCATCTGGTTTTGAAACCTACGCAAATATGAATATAAAAAATAATACAAAGGAAAGTCTAGGACCATATTTTCAGAGAGATATATATCCTGAAACACCTTGGAAAGCTTACATAATCTATACAGAGGCTAGTACATGGCTTATTTTTAAAAAATATCTGCTGGTGCAGATATGAAAGCCACTATCAGCACCAGTAAGGCTGTGGTGCCACAGTCTGGTGGTACACTGCTCCTTCTCGCTTCCTTAGACGTGATAAAGGCAAATCAACCACGACTGTTGTTCTTTGATCGTATTACTCTTTCCTCATGTGCTCCTTGCTTTTACTGTCCTGTCTTAACTTTCCTTCCCTTCCCTCCTCCTTCCCTTTGTTCATATTTACACATTTATTTGATATTTTCTACTTACAAGGCATCTTTCACGTTATCTTGTTTTATTCTCAAGTAAAGTAAGTATCATCCCAACTTTTAAAAGTTAGAAAACTGAGATCTGAAATGCTACGTGACCCGTTCAGGACTTCAGAGTAAGGGGATGAACAAGAGCTTCATTTTAAATTTTCTGATTCTACACTACCGTTTCTCCACGGTCATAAGAGTCTGCTGTCAATCATTTTTCTTCCCCTTGCCTCTTCTTTCCTTCTTTCCATAGATTGTGCTGCATAATGCTTGCTCTCCACGAGTACTTGTGTCACCTACTTTGTCATTTTTCACCCCATTCGTCTGCCCCTCCCCTTGCTTATCCCTTCCCAAGGCTAATTCCCACTTCTCCTCTAGGTGTCAGTATGCATGTGCCTCACCAGGAGCCTTCCAGGAGCACAGGCTGGGTTCAGGAGGAGGCGCCTTGCCTGTGGCACCAACGGCAAATCATTTGATCATAGAAATGTGTAGGATGACATAAATAAGGAGGGTGCTAAAAAAATTCTCTCCATAGTTTGACAACAGAAAAATTCAGATGAGCCTGAATCTTTCTGTAAAGACAGAACACTATCTCCTTAAAATACCAGAATCCCTTCCACCTTACCCTGCCTGTAAAATGGCCTGAACAGCACAACCCATCTCCCTGTATTTGTGTTAAATAGATTATATAACTGTTTAAAATATTACAATTCCTTTCTTTTATCATGAAAGCAAAGAGATGCTGGTTATCATAGGTTTTTCACATCAGCAATTTCTATTTGAAACCTATTTCACTATTATGCCATTTTAATGAAATATATCAAACCTAGAGACAGGAAGAGAAAATAGCAACCACGCATATACTCATTATCCAGTTTTATCAAACTATAACATTTTGTCATATTTGACTTTAGTTTTTAAAAAGTAAAACATTATAAATACATTTGAAACATGGTTTCTACCCCTCCCTAACGCCATTTCCCACTTCCTAGAAAAACATTACCTTGAAGTTGATGTACACTTTTTGAAAATATATCTATATTAAAAATATACAGGATTAGCTAGTGGTTTCTTATATATTACATGAACTATGCATTTGGCAATACGGCAGTCAAGATATTCTAACAAACTTTGCTACACAGAGCAGGAGAGGCTTAATAAATTACAACAAGATTCTCTTTAAATACATATTTGAGTTCAGGCATAAGTAGGGGAAATCTGGAGTATGAAAAAATAGAGGTGAATCAAGAATAGTGAGTACTAAAGTCCCAGTTGGAAGAATGGTGACCATGAATCCTAACTAAGGCCAGAACTTTGTGCTACACTCTATTTCTCTACATCTTTGTCAACAATTCAAAACGTTAGATTGAAAAAATTACTTCCCATTTGAAAACGCTCCTGGTGGTTTTCTTTTGTTTTGCCCTGAATACTAATAAAGATAAGCATCTTTTCATATATTTATTAGTCATTCTATATATATCATTTGCCACCTTCATGTTCACCCATTTTTCTCTTAGTTGCAATTTCTGTTTGCTTATATGGAGGAGTCCTTTATAAATGCCAAATGTGTATTTGACATACCACGGGACTCCTGTTAGAATGGCTACAATTAAAATGACTACCCTTATCAAGTGTTGCTGAAGATGTACAGCAACTGGAATTTTCATAGACCACTGGTAGGAACTGAGATGGTGCAACCACTTCAGGAAATAGTTTAGCAGTTTTGCTGGTTTTTTTAAGTTAAACATACACCTACTATTTGATCTAGTCATTCCCTCTTGGGTATTTACTCAAGAGAAGTAAAAACTTAGGACCCAGAAAGAATCATCCATGAATGTTCAGCGATGCTTTACTGGTAAGAGCAAAAAACTGGAAACTACCCAGATATCTATCAATGAGTGGATGCATAAACAAATCATGGAATTGAATACTTTATAAATGCCAAATATGTATTTGACATACCACTAGACTCCTGTTAGAATGGCTACAATTAAAATGACTAACCCTATCAAGTGTTGCTGAAGATGTACAGCAACTGGAATTTTCATAGACTACTGGTGGGAATCGAAATAGTGCAACCACTTCAGAAAATAGCTTAGCAGTTTTTTTGTTTGTTTTTTTTTTTCAAGTTAAACATATACCTACGTTTATGAGGAGTGAAAACTTAGGACCCAGACAGACTCATCCATGAATGATCATAGACGCTTTGCTGATAACAGCAAAAAAACTAGAAACTACCCAGATACCTACCAATGAATGTATGGATAAACAAATCGTGGAATGGAATACTGATTAACAATAAAAAGGAATCAACTACTGATATACACTATGACATGGATGAATTTCAACATAATTATTTTAAGTAAAACAAGCCAGACAAAAAAGAGCACATATTCTAAGATTCCATTTATATAAACCTAAAAAATGCAAACTAATTAATGGCACCAGAAAGCAGATCACATGTTGCCTGGGGTGAGATGTGGTAAGCGCAGAAGGGAAGGACTGCCAATGAGCAGGAGGAAACCGCCGGGGACAATGAAGATGTTCATCTATTGATTCTGCTGGTAGCTTCATGGCATGAACTTGCAAGACGCCAAAACTTGTAAGACTGTGCAAGTACGTTCATGTTCAGTTCATTGTATGTCAACTTATCAAAATGTATACTTTTGATATGTATAGCTTACTTTATGTTAATTATACCTCAACAAAACTGATTTTTAAAAAAGCTCATGAGAATAAGACAGTAAAGGAGAATCCTAACTACAGTAGGTAGCCGTCTTCTCAGATAAGAAATATAAGTATTTCTTAAAGATAGTCACAATTAAGAAAATCCACTAACCTTCTCTTTATATCGTGCTTTAAAAAAACAAAATATATGTCAATTAAGTTAAAAATAGTTGGAGGGGGAAGGTGGCTTTACTGAAAACAAGTATTTTTTGAAAAATAAAGGCAAGTGACTAAGTGAGGTCTAGATTGTAACAATATCGTTCCTCCTGCAGGAAATAATATACTGTTAGTATTTTTGCTGTTGATAGTGGTAATCAGTATGGCAATATGTAAAGTTTTCCACTGGTTCACTCACATGGTTAAGAACCTAGCTCCACTGGGCCGGCGTGGTGGCTCACGCCTGTAATCCCAGCACTTTGGGAGGCCGACGTGGGCAGACCATGAGGTCAGGAGATCAAGACCATCCTGGCTAACATGGTGAAACCCCATCTCTATTAAAAATACAAAAATTAGCCAGGCGTGGTGGCGGGCGCCTGTAGTCCCAGCTACTCAGGCTGAGGCAGGAGACTGGCGTGAACGCAGGAAGCAGAGCTTGCAGTGAGCCGAGATCATGCCACTGCACTCCAGCCTGGGTGACAGAGCGAGACTCCGTCTCAAAAAACAAAAAAAAACCTTGCTCCACTGATTACATCCTCATGTAATAACATAATAATATACTCCTATCAGCCTGTATATTTTCACTCCATTGATGACATTGATCCCAATCCATTATCATTCTTAGCAAAGGTTATAAGCATTTTTCTTTCTCTAGCTAAAAGTTTCTGAGAGTCAATCTGAAGCCACAAGTGAAATATTTCATACCTGATCTCACTACAGTTTTCAGTCAAATCACAGTCAAAACTTTGTTTCATGCATGAAATTATTTAAAATATTGTATCAAATTACCTTCAGGCTATGTGCATAAAGTGTATATGAAATACAAATGAATTTCGTGTTCAGACTTAGCTCCCATCCCCAAGACATCTCATTATGTATACGCAAGAATTTCAGGCCAGGCGCAGTGGCTCACGCCTGTAATCCCAACACTGTGGGAGGCTGAGGTGGGCGGATGATGAGGCCAGGAGTTTGAGACCAGCTTGGCCAACATGGTAAAACCCTGTCTCTACTAAAAATACAAAAATTAGCCAAGTGTGGTGACGGGCGTAATCCCAGCTACTCAGAGGCTGAGACAGGAGAATTCCTTGAACCCGGGAGGTGGAGGTTGCAGTGAGCTGAGATTGCACCACTGCACTCCAGCCTGGGCGACAGAGCAAGACTCTGTCTCGGGGAAAAAAAAAAAAAAGAATTTCAAAATCTGAAAAACAAAACAAAACAAAACAAAAACAAATCCAAAACCCTTCTGTCCCAAGGATTTCAGATAAAAGACACCCAACCTGCGTTTGAGGACTTACCATCTCCAAAAAGATGTGCCACGAGCCTGGTAAGCGTCTGCTTAAGATCAAACTCTACAAACTTCACGGCCTCCATGGTGTGTGTCTCTTGTTTATGCGCAGAGCGAGAACTTTGTTCAAAGAGCTGCAGGTTCTCTCCATCCTTTATACCAGCAAATAACTGTAAACCAACAGGAAAGGATAAATAAAGAAAATATCCTGGCCCATCTGTATCAGATAACTTTAAAATTCTGCTAAGAATCTTTGACTTTAAAAAGTTATAATGTGGGTATAAGACTCATTATGTCTTGTCAATAAATGTAATGAAATTAACATTCACTTGGTACAGCTCTGAAGAAAGCACTACACTACATGGTATGGAGGGTCTTTAAAGAATTAAGACATTCTTCTGATCTTTGCTAATCTGTTTTTCATTTGCATGAACTTATAGTCATTTCCTAGCAAGAGACACTGTCCTCAATTCTAGTGGAAATACCAATGAATCCCTTTCATACTCTAAAATTACATCCCTGACCATCCCACAGTGTCGAGGAAATAAATCCTGTAAGGTCCATGAAGGTAGAAAGCAAGCTGGAATTTGCTAGCCCTGTATCTCCAAAGCTCAAGGCAGAGCCTGAAACGTTTCTGCCACTTACTATCCATGTAAACTTAGGCAAGTGATATGGTAGCCAAGCCTCAGGGCATCATCTACAAAGTGGGAGTAATAATAGTAAATTAGTAGATTTTATTACAAACAAAATAATATATAAAAAATACAGAGTACCTGGTGCATTCCAATGGCTAAATAAGTTTTCCTCATATCATGATTATTAACCACAGCTATCATCAGTCGTAAGTTGCTTTACCACTGAAATAAACTAACTTTCTGGTCAGTGACATAGCAGGTCTTTACTTGGTAGAAGATTGGCTCAAAACAGATAACTGAGCAAATGAATGTACCATTCTTCCCACTCAGAGTTGCATAATCAAACTTAAAAAATATTTTCATAAAAGAATGAATCAGCTGCCATTTCTAGTAATATTGGTTTGGATAATTAGAACCAAACTTCCTGATAAATGCTACTGAAAAAATACAGAAATTCTTAAAAGCATTAAAGAAGTAAAAACGAGATAGAGAGGTGTGACTGAACTCTATAGGAAGCATGAAGCCAGGGGTAAAAAATTTAAAAATAAATAATAAAGTAAACACAAAGCCAGAGAGAAGTGTTAAGAATACCTGCCTATCTAACCTATCAACTGAAAACCTGAACGTGGGGTATATAACAACTTACCATGGAAGTGAGACAAAAGGGAAAGCTTTGCTGTGGAACCAAGCTGGGGTGCTGGAGTCCCTAAAAGACTCATCCCCCTGATGAGGATGAGCACAAAAGTAAACCAGTCCTTGCGCAGACTTGAAGTCAGATGTCACATTTTCTGCACAATAGAGAGAGCCTTGGGCTAAGAAGATGAACTAAGGCAATCCCAGACACACTTCCTCTAACGCGCCAGCAAAATTAGACAAAACCATTTTCAGAAAAATATTCTAATCTCCTAGGCCTCAAATTATTCTTGTGAGGACAAAAGACAATGACAGCTGTCAATGCTTCCTCTAAAAATAATTTAGAGCAACAAGAAGAACAAATAAAACTACTGAACACAATGCCGTTGGCAGACAGGAAGGAAGGAAGGAAGGAAGGAAGGAAGGAAGGAAGGAAGGAAGGAAGGAAGGAAGGAAGGAGGGAGGGAGGGAGGGAGGGAGGGAGGGAGGGAGGGAGGGAGGGAAGGAGGGAAGGAAGGAAGGAAGGAAGGAAGGAAGGAAGGAAGGAAGGAATGAAGGAAGGAAGGCAGGCCAGCTAAAACCTAGGGACAGAACTGTTACACTCCTACCCACTGATAAGGCTTTAAAGTAAGCAAGAGCAAGCTGGAAAAAATAAGAGAAAGAGAGGAGAATGAGTGAGGTGCTAAGGTTGACCTTAAAAACCCAGAAAGTGTAAGTTACACTAAGTGTGAAAATCCTTTAAAAAGTGTCCCAGTAGGCCTGAGCAGGGACTACAGAAAAGTGGTATAAAAGCATGCCCAATATGAAGTGACAGGCCTCCAAAAGCATAGTTACAATGGAAGAGAAAGGAGTTAATATAAAGTGAAAGACAACCTGTTCAATCGAGAGGAACATAAAAAAGACGCAAAAAGGAAAATTCAAGGTTGCCAAAGATAAAGCACAACTAAAACATTAGAGGATTTACAAAGCCATTCTCTAACCCATACCAAAAATAAATAAATGAACCACTAAAGTGTGCATTGCTACACTAACAGAAGAGGGCACCAGAGACTAAGGAAGTCTTTTTTTTTTTTTTTTTTAAATACTTTAAGTTCTAGGGTACATGAGCATAACGTGCAGGTTTGTTACATATGTATACATGTGCCATGTTGGTGTCCTGCACCTGTTAACTCGTCATTTACATTAGGTATATCTCCTAATGCTATTCCTCCTCCCTCCCCCACCACACAACAGGCCCCAGTGTATGATGTTCCCCACCCTGTGTTCAAGTGTTCTCATTGTTCAATTCCTACCTATGAGTGAGAACATGTGGTGTTTGGTTTTCTGTCCTTGGGACAGTTTGCTGAGAATGATGGTTTCCAGCTTCATCCATGTTCCTACAAAGGACATGCACTCATCCTTTTTTATGGCTGCATAGTATTCCATGGTGTATATATGCCACATTTTCTTAATCCAGTCTGTCATTGATGGACATTTGGATTGGTTCCAAGTCTTTGCTATTGTGAATAGTGTTGGCAATAAACATATGTGTGCATGTGTCTTTAGAGCAGCATGATTTATAATCCTTTGGGTATATGCCCAGTAATGGGATGGCTAGGTCAAATGGTATTTCTAGTTCTAGATCCTTGAGGAATCACCACACTGTCTTCCACAATGGTTGAACTAGTTTATACTCCCACCAACAGTGTAAAAGTGTTTCTATTTCTCCACATCCTCTCCAGCACCTGTTGTTTCCTGACTTTTTAATGATCGCCATTCTAACTGGTGTGAGATGGTATCTCATTGTGGTTTTGATTTGCATTTCTCTGATGGCCAGTGATGATGAGCCTTTTTTCATGTGTCTATTGGCTGCATAAATGTCTTCTTTTGAGAAGTGTCTGTTCATATCCTTTGCCCATTTTTTGACGAGGTTGTTTGATTTTTTTCTTGTAAATTTGTTTAAGTTCTTTGTAGATTCTGGATATTAGCCCTTTGTCAGATGGGTAGATTGCAAAAATTTTCTCCCATTCTGTAGGTTGCTTGTTCACTCTGATGGTAGTTTCTTTTGCTGTGCAGAAGTTCTTTAGCTTAATTAGATCCCATTTGTAAATTTTGGCTTTTGTTACCATTGCTTTTGGTGTTTTAGTCATGAAGTCCTTGCCCATGCCTATGGCCTGAATGGTACTGCCTATAAATCTTTTACACAACCAAAAAGGAACAACAAATAAATTCAATAAAAATATAGAAAATTAGTACTCAAAAATCAGAAAGTCAATTCAAAGGAGCTCAACTAATGAAAATCTAACTTTTCTCCCACCCCCCCAAAAAAACCAAAGAGCACTAAAAAGAAACATAAACTAATACTTAAAAACTAAGTTACATATGTTCAATCAAGCATATAAGGATATAAATTGCTTTAGTCAGAAACTCAAAAATTAAGAACAAAAAGAGAGAAAAAAATGAAAAGATAACTGATTTAACTCAGAAAATAAATAAATAAATAAATAAAATCATCTCAGAAACAAAGTCTAAATTCCAAAGCATTCAAGGGACAATGGACTCAATCAAGATTTAATAAGGGGGCACTGAAGACAAGGAGAAAAACAACCAGAAGGAGGATGGTAAAATAAAAAAAGAAGAATTAGAGAGAAAGTGGTAGAAATGGAACACAGGCAAAGAAGGAATTACATTTATATAATTGGAGTCCGTTAAAGAGGGAAGAAAAACCAATGCAGCAGAACTAATACCAGATAAAATAGGTACCTGTGAAAAAGAACCTGGAAGGATCAAATATAGGACACATTCACAAACAATGGGGAAAATCATCAAGACCTCTAGGCAAGAAGATCAACTAATGTAGAGGGGTAAAGCAATCAGAATGGCATCAGATTCTTCAAAAACAACACAGAAACAAGACAACAATGAAGCTACATTTTCAAACAACTCAGTTTTTAAAAATGTGGACCAAGAAGTTTATATCCATCAATACTGTCCTTAAAGCACCAAGTCTACAGAAAAAACTTGAAACACACAAGAGCATAACGAATGTCACATTAATGAGCTCTTTCTAAAGGATTTACCAAAGCATGAGCCTTGTTCAAGTAATAAATAACTAGGAAAATTTAAGCACAAAACAAATCGAGAACATGTTAATACATAAACATTGTAGACTTCAGACTAAAAGCTGGGGATTATATTGATAGACTATTATCCAATAGTTGTACGTTCTGACAAAGTAGAAATAACATACCTAAATAATGAAAGAAAGAAGCAAAGAGGAAAGTAGAATATATTAATTATTGCATAGGCAATAGTTAAAGAATACTTTTACGACAAACTAGACAGAACAAAGTTAAATATGAGGAATAAGGGAATTTAAAAGTTTTAAGAATAAAAGCAACCATTAAAACAAAAATATAACCTTTCTAAAGAGCAATAAAAATTTCAATTCAAAAGCATAATAAAATATATTTTGTAGAGAAATAAAATATAACATGTTATGACATACATAACACCACAATATATGATAGAGTTGAGATCAAATATATCAATAACTCAATAAATGTGAAAGTCTTATCAATAAATGTGAACAGGTTTAATTTACCTCTTAAAAAAAACAAATCTGGCCACAAAGCATTACTCAACTATACAAAAGATACACCTAAAACACTGTTAAAAACAAATGGATGGACAGAATAAAACAGGCAAATGGATACAATAAAAAAGCAAGCGTAGCATTTTTAAAATCAGAAAAAGTAGAATTCAAGCAAAAAAGCACTGAGCAAGACAAAGAAGATCTTGTATTAATGCTAAGTTTCAAATCACAATGAAGGTATAATACTTATGAATAGCTATACATCAGTAAGACAATAATTACCTTTGTGTAGAAAGAACCATAGGGGATGCAAAAGACACACATAGAA